AGTGGTTACGAGCCCAGTACAAAAATGCAAACACACTGTACTGTACATACCAGTGTTTCGTGCGTGTGCACCTAAGGTCATGAAGTCCAAATCTTCCGGAAAACCCACCGTCACGTAACAACACGTTGGGTAGTAATAGCAATAGCAAGATGGAGGACTCTAGGGTTTGGAGAGGTTGTAGTTGCCGTGATCTTATGTCGGCAGCGGCCGTGGAGACCAGTTCGGTATTCCATTGACCCTGAGGTGCCAAAACCTTGAAGAACTAGTCCTATCAATTTTATCATACGGTTATTATCCCTGCAAGGCGGATTGGCTCCTCTGGCTCAACAGGAGCAACTAGTGGTTGTCAGTATGGCGAATCAAGCTTCGAATTGCCCCATTCCTGAGCACGTTCTGATCCCCGCCACATATTAATGTGCTAAGAAAAGTACGAAGTGAATTTTTGAAAAACCATATTCCCTGAAGCCTTGGAGCTCCGACCCCCCAGCCTGCCACCCCCCCTGAAAGCCAAATTATCTTATGATTTCGCTTCGATATGGTTTGTGTGGGGTTCGGCTAGGGGCCGCATAGGGAATTCACGGTTTCTAATACATGTCATACAAATTCCTCCTGCGCTCTCTGAAGGTGACTACCAGTCTTGAGCGCAGCTGTATTCTGAAGCATAAATAAAACGCAGAACCCCCATTCCAACTTTCAGCCCAAAGCTGCACTCTACCCTGCTGCACTGTGCCTGAGCAGCTCGGGCCCTCCACTCTCATTTAGTAGCTTCGAAAACTTAAGGGTCCATTGTGGGGGAATCCTCATAGAAAGGATTGGGATCATAGTATATTGGGGCAACATGAAGGGACCCCTGCTTCCCTGCTTCTGGAATCCGCTACAACACCATCACAGCAGGTCCCTTCAGTCAAAGCTCGTGTCTTGCTGGGGTCTCTGCATGGCAGCGATGCCTTCAAAGGACCTAACACTAATTTACACTGCAGGACATGCCACACCACGACCCTGGAGGGAAGCTTGGCATGCATACCCCTCTCACCTGCAAACTACCGGACTTGACCCAAGATTTGGATCGAACCTTGTGAAATTCAGCACCTCCCCGTTAAAAGTTGCAAGCCAGCTTCTCCAAAGTCCCTTGGATGTCATCAGCTGCTGCTTGCTGGGACACCTGAAGGCAGAGCTTGAAGGTTTCCTACAATTCGAGCATGCACGGGAGACCTGGGAACTCAACAACCATTTGTAGTAGGCAAGCTTCGCCCTTGCTTGTGTTTGTTTGAAGGCATTTTGTCTGTAATCAGGCTCTGCTGGGTTCTCTATCCATGTTCCACTTGGCAGCTCAGAAACTTCAACTTGACATTTTGCAACCTGTGAGAGGCAACAAACCAGCACACTCCCTACGAGTGCTGTACTTCTTCCGTGCGAAAGTCCCCAATGCGACACCGGGACCTAGAATTTTGTGCCTGCGTCTTTGTTTATCCCCGTATCCCTCTCCATGCCTCTCTGCTTCTCCAAGCCCCTAACCATGAGCAAGAAGCCAAAGCCCTCAAACCTCGAAGGATAAGCCGAAAAATTGCTGGCCAGCTTCCGTTGATGGGGGCTGGCGACGCACCTTAAGCGATAACATCCCAACGAAATGTGGGCGGCCACAGTCATAGAAATAGCAAGCAGTAAGGATACTTGCAATAAGAATAACGTCCCATCGCTGAAAACTCGCGCCGCCAGCCATGCAAGCATGTTTTAAGTGGCAGGCCAATAGTTTTGCATTGAAGATGCAGCAACATAGCGCGAATACAAAGATCCTTTTGGAGGAATAACAAGGATATGAAGAATGATAACACTCCAATAAGGGCTCGCTCAGGGCGTAGGGCTTAGGATTTGGGTTGGGGCTTAGAGGGCTCTGGACTTCAATCAAAAGGCTTGCAGACGGATTGCTCAAATTTTCACGGGGATCGTCCCTAGCATTCATATAAAGATCATTTTGAGATAGCCTGATGAACCCTTCCTGGGCTTGAACGTCCCACAAAATACGGCAGAATGGGTTTCGCGAGACGCCAAGTTTCGGTACATGCGCTCCGATCTTGCTGGTGTTTTTAGCCCCACGGGCTATCTGAGCAGTAGACTGACCGAAATATCACGACCCTTCCGAAAAACGAGCGTAACAACGAGCACAATGATTTAAATGAGCCATCGTCTAAACTCCTAGTATAGCCCCTTCAGTACTCCCCAAATAATCCCCTATACAACCCCCTTTAAGGTGTTCTAGCTTACATGCTGGAAAACTCCGATTAAAAAATTCACAGCTCCAAGGTCGCTGCTGTGGCAAAGGATGTCCTGCCTGCAGCCAGTTAAAGTCAAAAAGGGGTACCCTGAGGGACCCTGAGGATATGTGGGGCTTACGACTTTAGTGTGGGGGTTCCATTCGTGTAGGGGATGGGTTAGAGGTCGAGGCTTACAGGGCCTTCGTAAACACCTCCCCCTCGCACCCTCCAATGCAAACCCCATTCACCTGGGCTCTTGTATTGTTGGCGAAGCACAGTTCCCATTCAGAAACTGCGCTGATTGGCAATGGACATTACGTATTGTCTTGTTGCAGTTTGCTATCAGGCAGCAAGGTTCCATGCACGCCACGCGAGGCTGAATTGAGCAGACTCTCAAGCTCAACCCTCCATTGCCAAGCCTAAACTAAACCTGATGTTGATGCCTACCGTACGACGCTCTCACCCTAGATGCAAGCTCGGCCAATGGGTCCTTGCAATCACGGGCCCTTTGTAACTATGTTGGGAACTGTTGCATTCAGTGGAGTAGTGAGTAGTGATTTCATTGTTGTAGGGTGATTGTACTGTAGTCAAACTCAGGGCCACGCCTAGATTATATACACGGAGCATCCCCATGGGTCAAAATTAGGGCACGCCCTTCCCCAACCAGCACCCCACGACATTCCTTCACAATGCCTGCCAAAACCCCCATGTGGTGGCTTCCCAAGTTGGAAGGGCCAATATTAACCCAAACATTCCCAAACATAGAAAACAATGCAATCATTGCAACAGCTACCCCAAAAAGGACCCTTAATCTAAGTTTAGCCCTGGCCCCCAAATAGACATCCTGACTCCACTGGCCCCTGCCTTGCCCCACAAAAGCTGGCAGGGCCAGGCCACTAAACACAGCCAGAACGACCTGGTGGACGTGGCTTCTAATGGGATCATGTACTGCCTCGGAGCTCCATAGGGATTGCATTGTGGTTGTATAGGGATTGTACCGTTGGTGGCACCAAAAGCTGGTTAGAAGGACCTGGTATCTCTTGCCCTCGGTATATTGTAAGCGTGGTTGCAATTGATTGCTGGTGTGATGCGTTCTTATGTTCTCGCTCTCCTAGTTTCCACGTTTTTGCTCCTCCTGCTGCTGCTGTTGCTGCAGCTACATCTTCCAAATTGACGTGGTGGCACCATCCTACAGCAGTGGCATAGGTAAACGATGTTCGGAAAGAAACTATGTTTGCGCCAAGTCGCAGTTTTACACGGTCCGGAAGGTTCTTAGAGCCCAAGTCTGAGAATCGGGCTAGCGGCAGGCAGATGGAGCGACGAACAGCCATGGCCGCAAACGAAGAGGCCAAAGAATGCCACTATTGCCCTATGATGCATGGCTTGAAAAGTGCTTCACAGATATGGTCGCCGTAGACAGCTTTGGGACAGTCTGGATAATCAGCTTGCTTTGAGCCGCTGCAAGATCTGCAAGTCTGGTTTGATGCTTCCGGAACACACTTATCAAGCTAGCCGGGTGAGAGGTCTTTTACAAGCGCCAACTTATCTCCGTAAGGACACGGGAGCACGTCAAGACGGACTTCCACGAAGACGCCGCTGCCAGGGTTGCGAGATTAAGGCTCAGCCGGCCAAGGCGAGCCCAACGAATTCACATACGAACGCAAAGTTCTGATGATAAAGCCCCCTAAAAAAATCGCAAACCTACAACCTCAAGTAACGGTAAGAAAAAAAGCATTCATCAAGATTGTCCACGCAGCAAAAAAATGCGGCGCTACCTACAAGCAAAAGGATCAAAGCAACCCTGTTCCCAAAATTACTTGCCATGCTCCCAAACTTACTTGGAGGCTCATCGGCAGTTGCAACTCTACCGATTAGGATCACTTCAGCACTAACCAGCAACTACGGTAGTGATAGGCAACTGCTGTGATCCTGTTTGAGGCTTAACTGAAACCGTGCCTTCATCGCCCCAACGAAGGCCCGCCTGCATCGCAACACCATTGACAAGCGGGGTCATCAAGGGGACGCTCACAGAATTTCGCTTATGCCGGGTCTTTGCAGGATTTGTATGAGGAACCCACGCAGGGATTGTACTCGACTCATGTCGGCATTGTACGTGTCAGCTATGTTTTCGAATACTCGCAAGAGCTAGCATCCCAAATCCAAAAAAAGCAGTAGGCTCCCCAACTCGAGACCCTTGATGAAACCATATCAAACCTGAACCCCAAACCCCTTACCACAGGACAGCAGCCTTCCGAACAAGCTCCGAATGGCACTTTGCTCACCAAGCAGGGGCCCTTGCCTTCCGCACCATAGAATGACTTGGATTGGTTCACGTGCGCGGTAGGGTGGTCATTGCCCTCCTACACGTTCTGGGGGTTTTGCCAGGCACCAGCGCTTTAAGCGTGGATATCTCTTGATTCTGCCAGTGCTATGAGGCCGGGAGGTTGCCTGCACTTCCTGTCACACCTGGACGTGCATACTAGCTTTGCTATGTCCGGAGAACAAACCAGGAAATGCAAGAGCAAACCACTCTGTACGTCTTGCATGCAAGTTATGGGTCTACCCTTCTGGTACCTTTTGCACAGTCCAAGTCCCCTCCACAAACGCAAATCATCAATCATCAAGCAAGCTTTTGTCGCCTTCTTGTCTTTTGCCTCACCTCTCAACTCTTTGGAGAGAGGTGAAGACAACATGCCATTGCTCTGAATTCCTTGAACCAGGTTAGTCTGTGGGAGGATGCCCGTGGGTTCATTGACCCTTCCTTTCCTCCATCGGCCGCAGAAGGTATGGCACGCAGAGCCCTTGCGGGTTGTACCCTGTTGGGTTCGTATGCGTGAGGATGCCATTCAGAACCTGAGATGTAGGCTCAAACACACCGCAGTACTTGGGATTGGAATAGATAACTTTCGGTCCCTGTCATATGGTTCTGACAACCTCCACAAGCCCCAAACAGGCCCTACATTACAGTTCTACGCACCTCCGCCGGGGCCCCAAAAAACACATTCCATGAAATGATGCTGGCGCACGAACACGTCTGAAAGCATGTCTGCAGTGCCACCCAGGGACAGGCAGCTGAAAAACAAGGAAGGGAAAGGACAGCAACCCATAGAGGATGCGGCCAAAGAAGAATCTGGACCGAAACTGCCAATTCCTGACAACTCAAAAGGCAGGCTTTAGGGTATGAAGGCTTTAGGGTTTTCGACACGTACTGTTGCAGGTAGGCTTTCTAAGTTCGCTGTGTTGCGCCGATCTGACAAGCAGAAGAAAGGTCTAGGCTACAAGAACCTGCCCGGACTTCCTTTGCAAAGAAGCAATAATCCCAAAGCCCTAGCAAAACTTGCCGAGGGTTCGTTGGGAACAAAGGAGTTTAGTATATAGGAACTATGCGGGGATTATATTCCCTCATTCCCTACTAACCCCCCACTAAGAAAACATTGAGGCTGGTGTCTGAAGATCTGAGACCAGCAAATCCTTGTTCATGGCCACCTGTTCTAGCCGCACCGTCTCCTCTCCACTTCTCTTGTTCAGGACTGATTGATAGTAGCAACAGTAATGACGGCAATGGTACATGATAATAGAACTTCTAGTATTAATGGAAATGAGAGTAATAATCGTAATACTAATGATTGTTCGAGGGTTTCTGGCGTTTAGGGATTTTGGTGTGGATGGGTTTGAGAGTTTAGGAAATCTAGGGCATAACCCTTTGTACAGGTCATGGGGAGCCCGTGGAAGGGGAGTGGGTCCGCATCCATCTTCAAAATCTAGGTCTGACCTTCGTACACAAAAAATACTAAGTGACTTGTGACATGGGCACGCGGTTCCCATGTTTTACGATTGCCCGTCAACCCTAATCCTCTTGCGTATCCAGGACTCTTGAAAGACTGCCGGGGCTTGGCGAAGAACAGCACATCAGCACCCACTGAAGCCCTAAACTGGCTATGTCTTCATGAACGCCATACAATCCCTGAACAAATACAACAAGGTGGCAGAATTCGGGGAAAAGCCCTGGGCCTCCTCTGTTTTGCTTGAATTGTGGTATAGGAAGTTCATGGAAGTTTGACAGGTTCATGTGGGCTGAGTCGCGCAATACTGTTTCATCCCGTCCTCTTTGGAAACATCTACCACAGTCAGCGAGTAGATCAGGAGACCTTAGCCCAGGCAAGAAGTTTAACCATAGGTGAAAACCGCAGAAAAAAAGGAAAGCCAGAAAAAAATCAGGAACAACACGTTCATGCCAGAGCCCTGAATTACACCAACACCTCCGCGAGACTTCGAACAAGTCGAGCGAACTTACGCGATGCTGTGACTCCCGAATCTTGAAAAACCAAAAACAACACCGTGCAACTAGCGCGCAGTTCATTCCGAAGCTCAGAAACCCTCAAAGTGCCAAAGTCCTAGTGCGTAAGCCCCCTCTACCTGCTCTAGTCATGACCATTCACAACGATAGCAACAAACCCTGACCCCAAAACTGCCCAAGAATCGCCCAGCTTATAGCCCCAAGACCACGTCTACATTCCACATCTTAAGGTCCCCCAGCATCTACACCATTCTGAAGATCCTCAGCCCCAAAAACCTTGGTAAACCCTAAACCCTAAACCCCTAACCCCTAAACCTTAAACCACAAATCCTAACCCTTAAACTTTCCGAAGCTTATCCAGGTGCAGCTCAAGAGGAAGCTGAAGAGGTCGTAGCCCAGGAGCCCTGTAAGGCGGCCTCCGCGGCTGCGGTCATAAAGACAACACCTGCACAAGGGAGCCCGATACCCCCATGGGTTGTATAGGGGCTATATTGGGATAATGGAAAGAAAATGGAACCTACTATAATGGGTTATATAGGGTTTAAGGGATATAGTCCCCATTAGGTAGATAGAATATGGGGTACATGGGGATCGTAGTATAGTATACCCAATGCCATATTCTATCTACTTAAAGGGGACTATATTTATGGACATGAAGAATGTATAGGGTATAGGGTTAGGTGCTCAGGGAACCCCATGCCGTTGTAGGGATTAAGGAGTATAATCATATAGAACCAAACAGAAGAGAAAATGGAGAATGTAATGAGAACTAAGACTACAGACGGATTTATGAGGTTTTGGAGGGATAGATTAGGGCGTCTAGGGATACATACCGTTTATAGGGTTTAGCGCAAGGTGCTCAAGGAAACACATATCGTTAACGAAGGGTTATACCATAAATCATCCTGGGATCCTTGCTTCCCTTTTCAACCCGGACTTGATCGACATCCTGGCTTCCCTAAATCCTAAACCCTAAACCCTAATCACTAAACCCTAATCCCTAAACCCTAATCCCTAAACCCTAATCCCTAAACCCTAAACCCTAATCCCTAATCCCTAAACCTCCTCCCCCCCACCCCTAGGGTATCTTGTTCACCGGTGGGCAGGGCTGAAGACTAGAAGCACAGGGGCTATAAGAGGCAAGCGGCCATCTGAGCCTAGGGTTTAGGGTTTAGGGTTATTGTCTAAACTCCTAGCATCCCCCTTAACAACCTCTATAGGAATTTTCCGGTAAACCTTATGGGGGTTTCGGGTTTAGACACGCGCATCGCACACGCAAGCACGGTTTCGGGATTAGGGTTTAGGGTTTAAACTCCTAGTATCCCCCTTAATGACGCCTGTAAGTCTCCCCTACATAGTGCCCTATATTACCCTCTGTAAGGAGTTTAAACTATAGCTTATCTGAAATCAGGCGGGAGCTTTTGGCACGCAGGGTTCGGGCTGGGTGTACCACAAGGCTTTAGGACTTCAAGGCTCATATGAGCTGTAGTCTAAACTCCTTATATAGGGAATTATAGAGAGGAGTCTTATAGGAACTATTCAGGGGGGTACTAGGAGTTTAGACCATAGCTCATATGGGTTGTTCTCAAAATCATAGGCCCTGTTGGTTACAAATTATATCACGGAACCTAATATTTCGGGGTACCAAAATGGGACCCTAGTTTTGGGAACTACCCATATGGCGGCATCTTGTGGGGTGGAACCCTTGCATGGTCCCCAGCTCTGGAATGAAGATCTTCAGGTTATACTCCCCCTTAAGTAGATAGGATATGGGGTACATTGGGACCTTGTTATAATATACCCAAAGCCATTTAAGGGGGACTATATCTAGCTTGTCGGAGCAAAAAAACCTCCTATAGATCAGAAGGAAGAGAACAGCATCATGCAACTCTCAGAAAGTGACACATTTAGAGACTGTAAGCACCAGAGATCTAGAGGAATGTATGGGCTGAATGCGAACCCCAAGCCAAAGAACCCGCACCTTAATTTTGAAGCCGAAATTCCTGAACACCCCGAACCCTAAATAAGCCATAAACCCTCCTACACACTCAAAACCGTTCAAGCAACAAGCACCAAACCCTAAACCCTTAATGGTAGTTTCCATTTTCTTTTCCATCATCCCAATATAACCCTAATATTACCCCAATGGGTACCTATATGTGCCCCTGCCTCCTCTCATCATGGTCGGACTCCTTGCGGTCGCTCTCTGTGATCTCTCGCGCCCCTGCAAAGCTGCGCGTGCACGGGAGCCTGTTTCCAGGGTTTGGGGCTTAGGGCCCTTTTGTTGGCATTTTGGGTTTACACTTTCGGGGGTTGGGGTTGAGTGCTAGAGTTGTATGTTGCGTGTAGGGTTTCTTGAGCAGTTGCTGTCTCGAGGTCTTTGCAACAGTTTTGGGATTTTGTAAGTTCAGGGTTTCGGGCTTGTTGTCCAAGGCATATTTACAAAACAGAGCTGCACAGTGACAATAAGGAAGTTCAAGAAAGACAAAAAAATCCATGGTACGAACTTTCTCCGAAACCGTCAAGCAGGCAGGCTCAAGGGATGTCAACAGCAATGTCAACAGTCCATACCGGCAACAGCGCCGAAATAACAGCAGCAACAGAAGGACTAGCTAAGCATTCAGGTCGCTTACACGGCCCCACTTATGACTGCTCGTGTACTTCCAACTGAGCACCAAAAATCCCGAAAGCTGTGCGATGGCTCTCTGAGGAACAGCAGGAAAGCCAGCCAAACCAAAACGCAGCTGCCGACAAAGTCGACCGAACTTGTTGCCAAATCCTGAGGGCTTCAGGGTTGAGGGTTTTAGACTTGAAAATATAAAGGGAATCTACCTGTATCGGTTTCCGCTATATGGCATGTTTAGGATCTCAGGGGCTTCGGGCTTTCGAGTTTGTAGCGTGCGTGGGCATTTAGGGTCTGAACGGGATTGAGGCTTTAGGGCCTTTAGGGTGTATAGCGCTTCTGTTGTGCCCTTACGCGTATCATGAATTTCCAGTGTCCATTTTGAGGCTTTTTGGTCGACTGTGGTGGGATTTCGGGCAGTTTTGGGGTCCGTCCTGGGACACCCCTGGGCCCTCAGTGTCGCAAGTGTGCGTACCACCTGGCTTCACACACATGTAGTACTCAAAGGCAGCCAGGCAGGCCATGAAGACCCCACTGGACAAGAACTGGGCTCCCTTGAAGGTGAGGATGAAGGTGACCGTCTGATACTCATCTGGAGGTGTACCGGCAACAACGCACATGAGGACCAAGGCAAAAAAGACCACCCGGATGCCAAACATCGGGGTAATGCTGATTGCTGTCAGAAGCCAGAAGGCTGGGTCTTTGATCTGCCCAAACACGGAGCTGTCAAAAGGAAGGTAATGATAAAGAAGCTTGGCCCTGAACCAGGAAGGACTCAAACAGCCGGGGCTGCGACCCAGCTCCTTTAAGGCAGCATGATCGGCTCCTTTTTTCAGCATCTGCTCCTTCGCATCCCCGACCACATTCTCAACGTAAACTGTAAGGTCATCCCAAAACAGGTCAATGACACTCTCCAGCCGCCATCGTGCACACTCCCACATGTCAGGATCCGAGAGCGATGCGTCCTTAATGGCCTCCCGCAGTGCCAGCATGACCCTGGCACGGATAGGACCAGAAAGGCTCACCAGGCGCTCGAGCGCCTCCACCTTTGCGCCGGCCAGGAGAGAGCCGTGCCGCCCATAACCAGCATCCCTCAACGATTTCAAGTCCACCCTATCCGTGAAAAAATCTGCCAAGTAGGTGCGTAGCTCTTCATAACTGTGGGCCTCGTATGCATTTGCTGCCCGTGTAAGCGCACTGTTGGTTCGATCCCTCACACCTCCCACAGCTGCAGCAACACCTGCTGCGGCTGAAGAGGCTGCGGAGGCACCCTTGGTTGCCACATGGCCCAGGAGCTCCATGCCCTGAACCTTAACCCAACTCAATCTTGAACATAAGCAAGTAACAAGACAGCACGCAAGCAAGTAATTTATCAGTATCCCATCACAAGCTTATCCCATAGAAAGGTTGAGTCCTTGAGCCAAACCCATCGGCTGACATGCGCCAAAATGCTGCAATCATTCCCTGGTGCTGAATAGGGGTGGGGGAATGGGTTACCATTAGTGCGAGCTTCATCCCTCATTCAGAACCATGCATCATGGTCAGCGCATCATGGCTATTATTATTACTTCTGCTATTTCGATGATTATTACTACTATTATTACTATTATCATTATTAATATTACTATTATCCTGATTATTGCTTTGATTAATGTTATTACCACTCAAACTCCACCTGAAGCCGGCCTCTCGGTGCGCTATGCTCGCCAAGCGCAGCTCCGTCCAACGCGGATCAAATTCCGGCCCGGAGCACTCCAGGTACGGAAGGGCCTGATACTTGGGCACAATTCCACGACTTTGAGTTTAGGGTTCAATTCGAGTGTCGCCAAACACCTGGACAGCAGGCTTAGAAGACGAAGTGAAGCAGTGATTCTCGATGATTATTGTGTTAACTTGCCGTTCTCTCTGCATCGTGCCACCAAAAAGCTCGTGCTGCAATCATATGCTGCCACTTTTGCAACAGCTGGGCACCCTGCCTCTTGGCAAGCGAGCGTGATGGGGCCGGCAAAGCTTACGTTATCTTAGCACAGCATGCATGCAACTTGCCAGCGTGTCAGCTCTCAATCCATCGCGGCAGTAACCCTGCACTGCTCTCATGTAAGTCTGCTTTGGTGATCTCCACGTTCGTCTCCCGTCTTTACCCAAAAGCTGCTGCAGTCCTACTGCGGTCCTCCAAACAACCGCTGGCCAGGCCAGCTTGCAAGCACAACCAGAAGGAGCAGTGGAAGTAGTAGTAGTAGTAGTAGTAGTACTAGTGGTAGTACCAGTAGTAATAGTAGTGGTGGTAGTACAGCAGTAACCGTAGCTGTAGCAGTAGCGGAAATAGTAATTATTGCTGTTGCAGCAGCAATAGCGCTGGCACTAGCAACAGAGCAGCAGCAGCAGCAGCAGCAGCAGCAGCAGCAGGGCGTCGCAAATTTGCCCAGATTCCTCACCGATCCTGCACACGTATCAACAGACTTGAATCATATTGGTTGCGGGGGGGCCTCCGTCCTCATGCAGCTTCACCCCTACATGATCCACCCTACAAAAGCCCTGCACTATCTGGGTTTCTTGCGAAAAAATGTGTTACTGGTTTTCTTTGTAATTGAGTTCTGTTGCTCAACGGCAACCGAGCATTAGGCGCTGCAGACCTCAGCCCCGAGCTCAGCAGCATCAAGGCGGATCTCTACTCTGCGCATGGGAACACACAGCAGCTCTTCACACGGGACCATGTGGGGCTGATGTAAGGCACAATGAAAACATAACCTCAAGCGCGCGTGCAGTGAAAAGCATTGAGGTTCAGGGTTTAGGGCCGGGGGGGGGATTGAGATATACGAGGCATTCCGTGTAGTTGTTCCTCACAGGGTATCTAGGAGGAGAATGCCATGGGCCTGTGGGGCTCCATGATAATCTATCACCAAACGGGGCCCAGAATTTTGAGAACAACTCATGTAGCCAACGCCACGGGGGTGTCCTAACATGCTGCAGCTGCTTGAGAGCAAATGCTCAACCGGAAGAGCGCTTTGCCACCAGGGGATGGCAAATCCAGCTGGTGGTTGGTTTTGGATCTGCTATCCCTTACCCTAGGGGTATAATCGATTCATATTTATGGATAATGGAAAAGAGAAAGGTAACTGAGAAAGGTAACCATTGTTTCGGGTTTAGGGTTTTGGGTTAGTAGGTTGCTTTGGAGTTGCAGGATCTAGTCCGGGCTTGAGGGCTTTCTCCCTCAGCCTTGCCAGTCCATACAGAATTTGAAGGTTTAGGGCTTTTCTGGGCTCGTTTCCTGGTGCACTGGTTGCTGAGGATATCTTCGAATCTTGAGCCATGCGGTAGGATGCTGCTGCCAGCAGGTACTTGCAGTTGTGTTACGAAGTTTCCTGTCACCCTGCGCATCAAACCCGTGTACTTCATTCCTGGGAACAGGGAAGTTTGCGAATCTCAAACTCAGCTAATTGCTGCAAGCAGTGCACCCTTGGGCCACCTGACTGTAGACCCTGCTTCAGGAACTCCCATCATTGATAGGCACTATGGCAATCCTGACCTCTGAGGTCTGGAACAACTCTCAGCCAAACGCTTGAACCTCAAATTCCTATTCGCTGCACCGTAACGCTCCTGAAACCCTTGTACATGAAACCCCTAAGCCCCTAAAACAACCTAAGCCCTGAGCCATTTCTGCCTAACTCTGAGATACCCGCGAGCCCTCGCTCCCATCCCAGGACAAGACCTTGGGACCGAAGGGTCCAAGCCTGCCAGGTACTTGCAGTGAAGGGTTTAGGGTTTACAGTAGGGTTTAGGGTTTAGGGTGCTTACCCCTAAACCATGAAGGTACACATCTGCATCTATACCTCTATATGCCCAGTCTCCTGTTCATTGTTTATTTGCTTGTCCATGTGGCTTGCCACTCCAGACAAACAATAAGGAGTAAAAGTAAGGTCGGTCTGTGGGACTTCTCGTAAAACACTTGAGAGAGCTCTTCAAAAAACAAACGGCCCTTCTGAAATAAAAGAGGATTATGAAGGTCCCTGCCCTTCTCTGAATTCTGCTGAGCAAGCTGAATTGAAAACCTCGCATGAAGATGCGCAGAATTCACGGAAATGACAGGGTTCCTGTGACAATCGAAACGACAAATGCGTTGAAGCTACAATAACTTTCAAAAAAGACTTCCGACGTACATCCCCTCATAGCGCGTGCCCAACCAGTTGAGGCTTATCACTGTCTTCTTTGCGAAAACTTATATGGGTGGATGGGCACACACCAAGCGTCTTGCTGGTTGTTGTCAGTGAAAGCAGGGGCGCAAAAATGTGGAAACTACTAAATCATTGGGATGAAAAGGGCTGCTTTGCCCCGCTCAAGGTAGTACAGTAAGAAGCTTACAGCTTAGGTCCGGGCTCCACGACCTCCACGGATCCGTCACCTTTGTAGACTCGTGGACAGGAAGCGTAAGGTTTTTGGGATCAGGTGATTGCAGTAAACAGAAGTGGCAGTACTGGTTCTAACCAACGTAGGTACGAACCATGCTGATGTCACTGATGTCGGTGCAGGGCCTTCGGTTCGCGGTGAAGATTAACCGGAAGAGTAGAACAACTGTCGTATGACTTACAGACTTCAAACCCAGCTTCAGGACCCAAAATTTAAAGGCCAAAAATTGTAATAAAAAAAATCTCAGCAAGAGGGGTGCCATAACAAAAGAACAGCACTATCAGCCAGCAATCTTGCAACAACCGGCGGCCGGGGCAAGGAGGACATGCCTCACTGAGCTCTCTATAAGACGTGAAGATGCTGGGACCTTACACGAAGGATCCGGATTTCTTGCATTCTGCGCTTCCTTTGCCAAAAGCTACAGTATCCCCTACAGGACTGCCAAAATTCAATGAAAGAATGCACACTTCCAATGCGCCTTCTGCGCTACGGCCTAAGCCTAAACCACAAAACCTGAAGAACCGCAAACCCTCAAGTCATATTATTTTGCCCGAGAACCCTTCAAGCCATACATTACCACTGCTGTGCCTCTCTCAAAATGATCCCAATAGCATGTCTAACAAGGACCCCCATGATCCACCCTAAACCCTAAACCCCCTTGTAATCCCTGGGGCCCGCCCCTTGCTCGATGGCAAGCAAGGCTGAGCCAGTCACGCAACTCGATGGCCACCTGGCTCCGGCTAGAACAGCATTTGAAAACCATGGGGGAATCATGGCAAAGAAAATGAAAAATGGGTCATATTGGGATAATATAGGGTCTATATAGGGCTAATGGAAAAGTAAATGGAAGCTACTATAGTAGATTGGGATAATATTGGGATAATGGAAAGGAAAATGGAGACTACTACATGATAATAGGGTATATATTGGGTTTATATAAGGTTATACAGGGGTTACATATTGGGAATAATGGCAAAGAAAATGGAAACGACTAAAGGTTATACAGGGTATGTATTGGGGTTATAGGGTTATGTTAGGCCAATGGAAAAGAAAGTCGGGAAGCTATTACATTCAGGTTTAGGGTTTGGGCTTTAAGCAAGGGTTTATATCAGAAAGATAGGGTGTATTACAAGAAAAATGAAGAATCACATGGAAATGAAGATGGAAAGTAAGTAGCTTACATGCTTTCTAATCCTCTCCTGTTCTCAAAGGGGCGTTATATAGGACCGTGGAGCAGGAAGTGGAAACTGCTACATACTTTAGGTTATATGGTTCAGGGCCAACAATAATAACACCTTCCCCACCACCCTTATAGCAATAACCCCCCCCAAAGGGATCATTCTGCAAGGATGATTCGGATGTCCGATTCATAGCAACTGTATGGAGCAATCTACTGGCTAAATCTAATCCTCTCCTCCTTCCCCCAAAAAATAAATACCCCCAATATCGTACCCTGATATATCAGGCGATGTACACCTGGCATGCCTACGCCAACTAAACTCTGTTGAACACTGGTTCCACTTTAACGACAATGACAAACTAACCCCTGCTCAATATCTTACTGGGGGTAATAGGCAATCAGTGAACTCTATGTATAGGGCGTGTTTTCCCTTGTTCCTTGCTAACCTTCAGTGAGATATCATCCTCAAGCTAACATACTGTAGCTCCCACTTTTACAAGCACAGTCGTTGTACCTTAGCCCCCTTTGATGTACCTGTCCTTTGCCCCGAAAGTGATCCATAATCCAAACAGTTGAAGAAGAAAACCTAACATAAAGACATGCGACACAGCACCCAAACGTTTTTGAGAAGCTCATCTGTGAAAGAGAGGCCATTAACACCTTTCATGAACAGGGCAGCCCTAACGTGATGATTACAACTACCCGAGAGATGGACCC